GTGCATCCTTTTCCCTTAACTTGTTGAGGACACCCTGTCTTGCCTAAAAAGTTACCCGTTTTGAAGTACTAGTTTTCTCAACATAAAGGGCACCATAACGGAGCATGAGATTTGATCAAATTATTCGCAGTTCTACTTGTCTACACGCTATTTCAAAACTACCTAAATTTGGGTGGAATCCACCCAGATCGGTCAAAACTGAACCTACCCAAAAATTGGTAAACTGTGTTGGGAGTGACAAGTTGACAAATGAACAATGTCGATCAGATTCATGTCGATGTTGTTCATTTGTCAACTTGTCACTCCCAACACAGTTAACCAATTTTTGGGTAGGTTCAGTTTTGACCGATCTGGGTGGATTCCACCCAAATTTGGGTACTTTTGAAATAGCGTGTAACGCCCCTGACTGGGTGAGGGATAAAGGATGACACACACACACTAACGGGAATTCCCGGCAGAGCTGGGATTGAACCCACTAGGTTCACCTCAGTAGTCAGAAGTGGAGACTATGTGGACACCGGTGATTCCCCTATCAACATCTCGCATGGTATTTATACAGTTACTTATAAACACACTAACTATGCAACTAACTTCCTCAAGTACACCATTCCAAAATTTCCAATCACCATAGCCCAATGAGCACCCCTCCGTCAGTTCTCCAACGGCACTAGCTCATCAATCTTTATTCCCGGATCTAATCGACATTTCCAGACCAAACCAAAGTTTTCCTAATCATTCTCACCATAAGCCAACACACGGCTTGGGTCAACATCGACTCAAAATTGCAAAAATTAACACTCTTTGGATGAGTAAAGTTTTCCACGATTTTCTCGAATGTCAGGAAAATCATTGAAAATTAAACTAGATAAGTTGAGTAAAATTTTCTTTGATTTTCCTATATTTGAGGCGATTTTTTTTTTTGCAAAATTCAGGAAAACGTTACTCATCCACAAAGTGTCCCACTCATGGCAATTTTGAGTCGAATTGGACCCAATTTTGAGTTACTCTCATCCGTGCAGATAATCGACAGGGAAACAATCCTACTGGGAAAACAAAAAAAAAACGGCAAATGCATTAGGCATCAACTTACTTTTTCAATGATCATCATTGAATTCAGCTGAGCTTGATTTTCGAGCAAACAGTAGCTCCGGACACGTTGGGGAAAAACCGTCTGGCTGAGTTGTTTGCTCAGAAGATGGAGTGTATGGTGAAAATTTTAACCGCATGCCATTGTGAAGCTTTCGTTTTAGCAGCAGTTGTAAGTCGTTTAACTACGTTAAATGGTTACATCACGGCCAACGCAAGCTTTTGGTTTCAAGTTCGTTACAAGCATAACCTTTCCCAGTGGATTTTCTCTTATCATGAGAGGAAAGTGCTGTTCTCGTCGAGCAATCCACCTCATATTGGAGTGATTTTATCGAGGTTTGCTACTCGGCTGCAAGATTACTTTGAAATCCAACTAAATTTCAGCGCTGCTGCGCATCACAAATGGGGTTCAAGCTTAAGATCCATTTATTGTTGAACGGGCAGTCAGAGGAAAAAAAAGCGAAGGGAAAAGTGAAGCTTGATTGTCGTTTGTCGGGTTCCAAAAATCAAAAAAAAAAAAAAACTGAAACCAGTGCAAATTGGTCGAAAACACGAATTTTATGACGATTGCAAATAAAACAGTCAACCCAAACATAGAGTTTCTCGCATTTGTTTACTTAACGACCTTGCGGGTTCGTCTTCGGGTTTGAAAAAGAAAATAAAAAATCACAAGCAAGCATTTGCGCGGACTTATTATAAGGGAACGAGGGGACGTTGGAAACGAACTTGGAATTCAATCGGGTGCTGGTTCCTAGGGGGACGACTCTATCTACGATGCAGGAAATATTGTGTTTTGCTGTGGTTAGCTGCGCGTACGCTGAGTAGATAGAAAGAAGATTTATCACGATTTTGAAGATTTCCTGCAAAAAGATGATGTGCGATGCAAGCACATGCGAAAAATTAAAGAAGATTTTTCGAATATTTATTCGTTAGTGTGAGGTTTTTTGAGCAGCTAGAATTGAGATTTAGATGTGTCGCCCCCTCGGCTGGCTTAAAGGTTCAGAGAAGGCACAGAAATCCTGACACTTTCAAAAAATAAGGTCTAAATATGCCAAGCATAAACATAAACCATTAAATTACATTTATTTACGCATGGTTTTCTTTGATTTTCCTTGCGATTTTTCTCCATCTTGAAAATTTTCGTGGAAAACACTTTAAAGATTATATTTTTTTATGAATTTCCGAGGTAATTTCCTTATCATACCACTGCACGTTTTTTCATGTGTTTTTTTTTTTATAACTGATGTCCGGGTAAATCCGAAAACTTCAACTAAATTTTTTCTGAAGAATTAACTTTCTTAATCTAGCGCAGTTTATTATTATTACTGATGGCTTTCAAATTTATTTACCTTTCCGTACGTACCATAAGATTTGATAAAGAGAAACCAATTGTTGAAATATTGTCAAAAGTCTAACACTGCTTCTTGACGCCAAACTTGGTCTACGGATCCTAAACTCGGCCTAATGCATTGAAACGCCAATTGATAGTTACTACTTTGTATGGTTGAGGCGTGTAAGAGGTGCTTTACCTACCTTGCCATTCAGGGTCGTATACACAATGGATCTCCAGGAGAAATTGCAATGGGGCAGACTTTCATCCCAATATTGGTGGAAAGGCGGAATTTACAAAGAAGATGGCGGAAAACAAGATTTTCTTTACAAACAAAAATTAGAACATATAATCAGTTGAGGTTTAGAAGGCCAGACATTTTAATAAATTTTTTTAAAGAGAAATTATCGAGTATTTTTTTTTGACGTTGGATAACGTCTTTCGGCAACATACGGGGGTACAAAATTGAAAACAGTCATTTTGGATGAGTTACGAAAAATTAAAAGATTTTGAACGATAATATCTCAATCGTCTCTTGATAGATTTACGAGATAATGGCATCAATCGATTGTAAATATTTCTAGCAATTTGCTGAATGTTTTAAAACTATTGATTTCATTCTGTAAACTATTGAAAAATGGTTAAAGGTAAACCATTGTCTAAAGATGGTGAAAATCGATTGATTTTTTTTATATTCTTATACTTTCTCCAACCGAGACATCAGATGCGAGTATCTGACACCTCTGATATTTTCTGTTCTACTATATAAGCGTCCAACAAGGTCGCCCGTTCCATCATTGTCTATCCGATCGTCGACCCAGCAGCAGAGTAGCAGTACCAGAGCAGCAGAAGCAGAGCAACGGCAGCAGAGCAGCGGCAGCAGAGCCTGGGGGCGAAAGGGCAACTACGCCGAGTGCGTTGGTGCCAGTGCTCCGGTATACTGGGCCGCCGTCATGGAATGCCCAGCTGCTGCAGTTCTCAGTCGGTCGTATTCACCGTCTGCTCCGCAAGGGCTACTACGCCGAGCGCGTTGGAAAAATGGCTCTTTTCAGGGCCACAACATTATCAAGAAAGATTAATTTTCTAGGGTGGTGTACAAGGGAGTACCCAGCACAATCATGGGCATTGGCTCCAAGCAATATTTCATCAGATTCCAGACAAATCTGTTCGATAGTAATTAGAACAGAAAATGAAAATATAAAAATGAGGTAAGGAAAATAATTAAAACATGGTTCAGATTAATACCTGGCTGAATAAAGATACACATTACCGTTTATTATATAAGACCACGTAGTCCTACGTCACCATTGCGTACAACCCCATAGGGCTGTCCCTTGTAGTTGGAGGGTGGTGTACAAGACACAACCGCATTGTTGACGTAGGACTACGAAATTTTTTACGGTTCAGACTCCCTTGTACACCACCCTCCAACTACAAGGGACAGCCCTATGGGGTTGTACGCAATGGTGACGTAGGACTACGTGGTGTTCTATAAAACTACCAGGGACAGCCCTATGGGGTTGTACGGAAAGGTGACGTAGGACTACGTGGTCTTAGGGATGGTCCATTAATTATGTCACGCAAATTTGGCCCATTTTCAACCCCAACCCCCCTCCCCCCTTTGTCACATTTTTTGTATGTACCTTAATTTTTTTTGTATGGCTCGTCACAGTTTTTAAAACCTTCCCTCCCCCCTAAATGTGTGACATAATTAATGGACGACCCTTTATATAATAAATGGAATGTGTATCTTAATTCAGCCAGGTATTAATCTGAACCATATTTTAATTATTTTCCTTACCTCATTTTTATATTTTCACATTTTCTGTTCTATTTAAATACTATCGTACAGATTTGTCTGGAATCTGATGAAATATTGCTTGGAGCCAATGCCCATGATTGTGCTGGGTAATTAAAATTTGTATTCAACAGATTGCGTCCAACGTATCCACATCGTATAATGGCCGCATCAAGCAGATCGCTTGTAAGTCCACCGGAGGAAAGGCTCCTCTCAAACTGATGGCCACCGGTGGAGTGAAGAAGTCTCATCGCTACCGGCCAGGAACTTTCGCTTATCTGGTCAAGCGTGTCACAATTCAAGACCAACAATTGAAATGACGTTAACTCCATTTTGTAAACAAACCTTGTAAGGCCATTTTCTCGCGAACGGAAGTCCGCAAAGCCAAACCAACATAATGAACAGGTAGGAGAAATTCTCCTCTACCCGATTGTGGTTTAGGTTTGCAAATGAAGGTTTCGGTTCGCGAGCAAATGGCCTTACAGGTTTGTTTACAAAATGAAGTTAAGGCCATTTCAATTGTTGGTCTTGAATTATTTTATGTTCCATTTTCGGTTTTCGCAAACTGTACCCCCATATAGAAATCACAGACGTCAAAACCGTAAGGTCTTATTCTTTTTGTCAACATTATTTTGATAATGCAAAGCAACTGATTTCTTATTGCGAACTTTGCTAACGCTGCTTTCGAACATTTAAAAGTTCAATAAAATCATCAAAACCTCTTTCACGTTGGAAATCGATTTGTGGCCCTGAAAAGGGCCGATTGATTGTTTGGATGGTACGAATCTACGTTGAGCTGGTGTACTTGATGACGGCCTTGGTTCCTTCAGAGACAGCGTGCTTGGCCAACTCACCCGGCACCAGCAGACGGACCGCAGTTTGGATTTCGCGGGACGTGATCGTCGAGCGTTTGTTGTATTGAGCCAGACGGGACGAGTTCGAAGATGCTTCAACACCTTGTAGATGTAGATGGCATAGCTTTCCTTCCTGCGCTGTCTCTTCTTCTTCTTCTCTCCCTTGGCGATGACTTTCTGCGCCTTTCCAGACTTCTTTGCGCCCTTTCCACTAGTTTTCGGTGCCATGATGAAAAGGATAACTGATAGTCGTTTCGACGGTGGTGTCTCGTTTTGTGCCCGTAGCATAAGAAGCGAAACTCCTCCCCTTTTCAGTATTTTGCTGTATGTATTGTTCCCTCCCTGTATTAATAATATGCTACTCGACGCAGGTATAAGTATACCCTCGACGAGTGAAATAAACAGACATCGAACATAGATCGTTTGCACTTCACTCATTCAGTCCAGTTGATGTACATTTATGGTTCCAACTGAGGCTCGAATAGTGTAGTAGTCAAGCAGTTTAGTCCGGTTTTGGCTCGCTCAGTCGAGTTGTTCGAGTTGCGCGTTTGTTCGTGTCGTAGTGCCGGTTGCATCGTGTGATGGGAAGGCAGCGCTCCCGGAGCAAGCTCCGTGAGAAAGTGGAGAATAGTGGTGAAGGTAGCTCGTGCGTACCTATCACAAATAGGTACGCTACTATTCCCACCGATGTTGGGAATGCCCTACCAGCGGAAGTGAAGCGGACGAAGAAAAGGAAGAAGAATCAGGGCCAGTCCGATGGTGCGAGTGGCCGTGACACCATGACGAACGTCAGCGACATCGGTGAATTCGGCGGTACCGTCGAGCATGAAAATTCTGCCGGCCCGAGTACGGCAAAAGTCAAGCTTCCTCCACTGGTGGTTATGAAAGTGCCACTCAACACGCTCTCACATCGCTGGGCGTTGCAGCTCAATTCAAGCTGAGCAGGATCGGCACCAAGGTGATGCTGCGTACCAAAGCGGAGTACGAAGCAACCGTGAAGTACCTGAAGGATTCCAGGGCGGAATACTTCACACATGACATCCCCGGTGAGAAGCCCTTCAAGGTAGTCATCAGGGGCTTACCGAACTTCAACCCCAAGTCGATCGAAGAAGAACTTAAGGACCGTTACAAGCTAGTCCCAATCGCAGTCTTCCGGATGACGAGGAGAGACGAAAACGTGAAAACGTACCCGGATTGCCTTTTCCTGGTTCATTTCCAGAAGGGAACGGTGACGCTCAATGCGTTGAAGGCCATCCGCTCCATCAACTTCATCATTGTTCAATGGGAGCCATACCGTGGCGGCCGTCACGACGTCACCCAGTGTCAGCGTTGCCTGAATTTCGGGCATGGCACCCGAAACTGCTACATCAATCCGCGCTGTGGCAAATGCGCCCAAAATCATGTTTCGTCCGAGTGCGTTGTCGACGAGTCGGAAACATGCAAATGCGCCAACTGTGGTGGAGCTCATCAAGGGTCCGACAAACTGTCTCATATCCGCACCTCTATCATCGAGGCCCTTGGTGTGGAGGTGGAGTCGTCGACTGGATACGTCCAGTTCATCGCCGTCTACTGCCCTCGACAGTGTGCCGCCAACAGTGGACTAGCGGCTAAATTCAAGAAGGACCTGTCCACCATCACCCGTAACGGTTCCCGCTTCGTAGTAGGAGGAGATCTAAACGCTCGCCATGAGGCCTGGCGGAACTACCAGCAGAACCAGAACGGTCGTCTGCTGTTCGACCACTCACAGCATGGGCTGTACTCCGTTTGGTTTTCGGATGAGCCAACATTTATCTCACCGGCTGGCAACCCATCGACGCTAGACCTGTTCCTGACAAATATCGGCTTGTCCAAGCCGATAGCATTGAACGAACTCAGCTCCGACCACCAACCGGTGGTGGCTGAACTGGGCTGCAACGTGGCTCCTGTTTCAAGCCTGCGCAAGGACTACCATCGCGTAAATTGGGCCCAGTTTGGACGCGTGGTAGACAGGCACATCATCGACAACCCGTCGCTTGACTCCGTGGAGGACATCGACCGAGCGTTGGAGAGACTCCACCAAGCCATAACCGTGGCTGACGAGGCGTGCGTCCGACGAGTTCCTGTGAGGGGTAAGTTTATTGCCATTGATTCCCACACCCAATTACTGATTCGCTTGAGAAATGTGCGTAGACGCCAGTTCCAGAGAACCGGAGATCTAGCGAGGAGACGTGAAATGGCCGATCTGAACAAGGAGATTGCTTCCAGAATGGTCTCACTCCAGAACGAAAGTTTCGGGCGGCTTGTCCAGAATCTGGACGACCGCTCCAGACCATTCTGGAAGGTAGCTAAGGTCCTAAAGACGCACCCCAAACCCATTCCTCCACTCAAAGATGAAAATGATGACGATCGGCTCATAATCACCCCTCAGGAGAAAGCAAATGCGATTGGTGAGCATATTGCCAAATCGCACTTGCTTGGCTTTAACATCCAAAGTCCGCTCGAAGTTCAGGTTGAGCAATGCGTACTCAACCTTGATTCCTCCCCTTGTGCCATCCCTCCGGAGGATAGAATCACAGTGGAACAGATTTGCTCAACGCTGAAATGCACCAAAAACATGAAGGCCCCCGGGTTTGACGGAATATTCAACCTAGTATTGAAAAATCTCAGCATGAAGGTTCACTCTCTGCTGGCTGCTGTCTTCAACAGATGCTTGGAACTGCACTACTTTCCAAGTATCTGGAAAACAGCGAAAATCATACCTATCCGCAAACCCGGGAAGGACCCAACGCTAGCTTCAAGCTACAGACCAATCAGCCTCCTTTCAGCGCTGAGCAAATTGTTCGAGAAACTTATTCTCAATCGTTTGCTCAAGTTTGTCGAGGAACACAACATTCTCCAACCGGAACAGTTCGGGTTCAGGAAGGGGCACTCCACAAATCATCAGCTAGTACGGGTGATGAATAACATCCGAAGTAACAAGACTGTATCCAAGTCTACAGCCATGGCATTGTTAGACGTTGAGAAAGCGTTTGATAATGTCTGGCACAATGGGCTTGTATACAAGCTTTGTAACTTCAACTTTCCTTTGCATCTTGTTAAAATCACCCGTAGCTACCTCCAGCAAAGGTCGTTTAAGGTATCGTTGAATGGTTGTCTTTCAGACACGTTTTCCATCCCAGCAGGAGTCCCGCAAGGCAGTCTGCTGGGCCCCTTGCTTTACAGCATTTACACTTCCGACATTCCTCCCCTTGGAGACGGTTGCGTGTTCTTCCTATTCGCAGATGATACCGCAATAACCGTCAAGGGTAGGATGCCTCGTGAAATAACAAACAAGCTCCAACGATGTCTTAACGCCTTTGCTGATTATGCCACCACGTGGAAAATCAAAATCAATGCTTCCAAAACACAAACAATCATGTTCCTCCATCGGCAATCGCCCAAACTAAAACCGGCTCCCTCTTGTACTGTAATCATGGATGGCACAAGGGTTGAGTGGTCCACTGAAGTAACATATCTTGGTATGTTATTTCACGAGAAGCTCCTTTTCCGCTCGCACATAGATAGGGCAGTAGTTAAGTGTTCCAATCTAGTTAGGTGCTTGTATCCACTTATTTGCCGCAGATCTCGTCTCTCTAGGGTGAACAAACTGGCTGTCTACAAACAAATCATAGCACCTGCGATCCTCTACGCAGCTCCGGTGTGGGAATCATGTGCACAGACTCACAGGAACAAAATCCAGGTCGCTCAGAATAGAGTGCTGAGGATGGTTCTTGATCGTCCTTTCGACACTAGAATAACAAATTTACATGAAGAGGCAGGCATTGCCAAAATAGATTCCAAAATTAACGAAATTAAGACTAAATTTGAACAAAAATGTAATTTATCAGAACATGCTTTGATAAGCAATTTGTATATAGTAGGTTAGGTGTATATAATAGTTGTAGGTTAGTTGTAGTTGTAAATAGTAGTTATAAGTAGTCTCCTTTTTCCAATTCAAATCAAACCAATCCCATCAAGGTGGTCATACTTTAAAAATAGACCTGATAGGACTAGGAACTGTAAATAATAATTAAAATCTCAAATGTACTAAAGTTGAAAAGACGCATCTGTGTCACTTAAAAAATTCATACATGTAAACCACACAATCACAAGAAATAAAGATCATTTAAATGGCAAAAAAAAATGAAATAAACAGACCTGGTCGGTCTGTTTGCCATTCACGCCAAGCGTGTCACAATTATGCCAAAGGACGTTCAGCTGGCTCTTCGTATTTGTCGTGAACATCCTTAATTTTTCCGTCGAAATCTATCAAAACCGGCCCTTTTCAGAGCCACTAAAAGATTCCACAAGAGAGTTGGGAAGGAAATTTCTGCTGCTTACAACTGATCGCATCACAGTGAATCCTGGTCGAAAAATTGCAACCAGCAAGTGCCCTAGAACCAAAAGCGGTGCGATGCTATGACGATGACTGTAAGGGGCTTAGAAGCAGAAGGGTGAAAGCCAATTCTCTTTTTGATTTCCTCTTTTGTGATGACCATGGTTTCCTATTTCGCACTATTTTGCCGTCGAGTTAACGTTATCTGACCGTGCACTTCGTAGTTTCTCCTCCGTGAATGATCACAACTCAAGAGCAAATTTTCATTACGTCGAAAGTAAAGGTAAACAAAGTCGAGCTATCAGTGTCAATCGATGCTCCTGCTATTACACTATATCAAGAGCAAATTTTCATTATGTCGTAAGTAACATTCGCACCGATCCGAGAAAAATAAAGTTTTGTTTTGATGACCGAAAAGTTATTCCTATTTCCAATTAAACACATATAATCTCATAGTGATAGCCATGTTTAACATATTTAGCCGGGTTTTAATCATACAAAGGCAAATCGCTAGCTTTCATGCTAAGAAATACTGGTTTTTGAGTCAAAAGTTATTATACGTCGTTTGGTGGCCCCCATTGTTACTTAAGTCAAAGTGTATTTACCAGGATATTCGGGAGAATTATCAATTACGTCTCCTTACGTGCAGCCCATTCATCATTTTAGGACTACCGAAATCATCTTAGCAACAAACAGTTCGATTTATTCACTTTAATAATGAGAAAGCGAAACGACGAACTTACACTTTTCACGGGTTTCTCAGTGCTGTTACTTAAGTCAAACGGCATCTCCATAGAAATTGGGTGACTTAAGTAACATCGAAAACTATTTTGATTGGAAGGTGATTACGTCAAAAAGCAATTTGACTGGCAAA